CCCACGCCGACGCCGCAAACATGGCCACGGGGCACACGCTGACGCTGCGAATACGAACACGGGGCACACACTGACGCTGCGAACAGGAACATGGGGGACGTGCTGGCACTGTGAACATGGGGGACATGCTCACGCTGCGAACACGGGGAACATGCTGACGCTGTGAACATGGAGGACACGTTGACGCTGCAAACACGGGGACACACTGACACTGTGAACACGAACATGGGGCACACACTGACGCTGCGAACACGAACATGGGGGACACGTTGACACTGCAAATACGGAAACACACTAACGCTGCGAACACGGGGGCACACTGACACTGCGAACACAGGGACATGCTGACACTGTGAACATGGAGGACACGTTGACGCTGCGAACACGGAGACACGCTGACACTGCGAACACGGGGACACACTGACACTGCGAACACGGGGACATGCTGAAGCTGTTAACACAACACGAAGAACATGAGGACAGGTGGAAGCATGTGCCCAAGCAACAGGAGTGAGACAAACTAAAATGCTCTATTTCCTAAAAGAAAACCACATCAAAACCCCATGATGAGGGACCAGCAGTCAGCGTAATGTCACTGGACTCCCATGTAGTTGACTGTGGTTCGAGCCCCGGACCCGGTGGCTTAAACTCACGCCGGGGGCGCGGGTGTGCGTGCCCAGGATCCCGAGAGGAGAATGGAGGAGAAGGGATTGCGGCGTGGCCATCCCCCCAGGGGGTGATTTCTCGCTTTCTGTCTCTCTGTCTTTCCAGTGAGTACACGTGCCCTATAGCGAAAACCTCTTTTAAAAAACAAACAAAACAAAACAAAAAATGATGCCCCCGGTGGATCTCCCTGTGCACCTACTTTTGCTTCAGGGCCTGAGTCCGACTCTTTTGACGGTGCGAGGCTGTTGCAAAGTCCACAAAAATCCCACAAACGGGCGTCCTGGAAGCAGGAGTGTCTGCGTCTGCACAGGAGAGAAGAGCTGCTCTGACACCAGCACACTTCTCGGCGACGACGACGAGACCAAGTGAACCTCCAGAGGCACGCGGCACGGCTGCGTGGGGACCTTCCGTTCACCGAGCCACGTGGCTCCTCCGGACACCAGAAGGACGGTCAGCACCGGCCGCGGCACCGAAGAGGCCTATTCTGCTAATTCATCCAAGACTTTAAAGTGACAAACAAAATTTGCTGTTTATCTATTGTGCGAGAGGTCCTCAGAAGATTGTAGGAGGGGCTGGCAGGTGGCAGGTGGTTAAAGGCGCTGGGTCCCCACATGGTCGGCTGCAGTTTGAGTCCCGGACCCGGCAGCTTGCTTTCTCCCTTTCCCTTTCTCTCTCTGATCAAATCAAAAAAACAATAACAAACAGAATAAGTAATACTTTTAAAAAGCAGTTTGTGGAAAGTGAGCATTATGTGAAAACTGTGGGCGGACCTCAGACGGCGTGCACCAGAGTAAACTTGCGCTTGCTCTGCCTCCCCACTCTCACAGCCCCTTGTAGGTGCCGTCACACTGCTCCGCTT